GTGTGTGTATATATATACATATATATGTTTATATATTATATATTATGTAAATATGTCTACACACACACTCGCACGCACGCACGCATGCACAATCGCACACACAAACACGCGCACACACGCGCACGCACGCGCACACACACACACACACACACACACACACACACACACACACACACACACACACACACACACACACACACACACACATACATACATACACACACATACACACACACATACACACACATACAGAGAGAGAGAGAGAGAGAGAGAGAGAGAGAGAGAGAGAGAGAGAGAGAGAGAGAGAGAGAGAGAGAGAGAGAGAGAGAGAGAGAGGTGGGGACGTAGAGAGAGATTGAAAAAAAAAGAAAAGAGAGAGAGGGATCGGACAGACAGACGGATAGACAGTGGCATTGGGTTAGATAAAGAGAAAGACAAACTAACACAGACAGATAGAGAAAGTGAGACAGGGACAGAGAGTTAGAGGTGTGTGTGTATGGAGAGAGAGAGAGAGAGAGAGAGAGAGAGAGAGAGAGAGAGAGAGAGAGAGAGGCAGGCGGAAAGCGAGTATGTAACTATTGTCTACATCCACTGTATATCAGCGACTCCCCCCTCCCCCCCAGTCCATCTCTCCATCCTGTGGTTCAGTTGAATTGTGAGTGTCAGTCGCGGGAGGCAGCAAACCGAGACGGCTGTTTACATCCCTATATTCAGACCTTTAAAAAAAAAATGCTAAATATGTTGACGAGACGGTTAAGGAATTCTCCCGTAAGTAATTCATGGATTATTCTTGGGCTACCATCGGGCGCTAATTTATTTGTGTGTTTTTTTTTCTGAAATGCGGAAAATATGTCACTTTACAGAGGGTCTAGTCCCGAGATGTGGCAGTTCGTCTTGGCGTTTCCTCTCTTCGTGGAAGTACTGTGAAAGATCGCGAAGGAAATGGCTTTAGCGGCAAATTACCAGTATTTTTTTTTTTTTTTTTAATGCAGCTGGAAAGTAATAGTGATGTTTACTGTGCTTTTATTCTAGTTATGGATTATAGTATATTTAAGAAGAACGTTTTAAATATATTTGTATAAGTCTTCACAAGCGCATGCACACACGCAATACACACATACAACACACAATACATATAAAACACACACACACAGAACGCGCTCACACATCACACACGTACATTATGCACATATTACTGCACACCCACACACAAAGACAGACACACACACACACACACACACACACACACACACACACACACACACACACACACACACACACACACACACACACACACACACACACACACACACACACACACACACACCCTGTCCTTATTGTTTGTGGAAGTAAAAATTAATTTGACCGTTAAACCTACTCGATACTGGCAGACAGTCAAGAGGGTGAGCGATAGTTATTGCAAAGAGGCACTATTTCCATGTTTAATGTACTCATTCTTTTTAGTTGCAACCAGAAAATAGAAAACAAAAAAAACAATCTACAGAACCAACTAAAACATAGGCGTTCAATTTGCTTTCAGCATGAAATTAAATGTTGTTCCAAGAGTTGGACCTCTTGTGTTAATACGCCCCATTTCTTCGGCCTATCTTATTTATAAAAAATATATATATATTCTTTACAGTCGATGGTTCGGCTAATGAATCCCCGGCTGTGCTTGCTGTGGTGCGGGGGAGCAGTGCTGGTGCTCCTGCTGCTGCTGGCGACGAGGCCTAAGGAGGATGAAATGGAAGGCTTCGGAGACCCCGTCAAAGGAGCGGCCAGGGCTCTCCACCAGGCGGCTGCAGCTCTCCTCCCCCCACCCCCAGGAGTGTCTCCACCCCTCCTCCAGGTGAGTACACTGGCACAGGCTTTGCTGCGAACTACAATAGGTACAAGTCGCTCGGCTTCTTTGCGTTATGTTTCGCTTGCGTCTCTGACCAGGGATGTCATATATAAAATATCTTGGAGATTAAGATTCACGTTCGACGCGGCGCCGGGATTTCATACAAGTCGAAACAACATTTTCGTCCTGGAGAAAGCAGCATAGGATTTCTTTCAAGAGGTGATAAAGACAAAAAAAAAAAAAAAGAGAGAGAGAGAGATAATGAGATGGTTCGCAAGAGGCAAAAAGTGAGCAAAGGGTCTAGGCAAGCAGAAAAGCCTGTAATGTTCCTCGAGAAAAAGTACGTTTGCATGATGTATTTTAGAGACACATTTAATTGATATGGGACAGTCTTGATATTGAAGAAAAACACAGAAAACGTTATTGCGTTTGTGTATTGTGTAGTTATTTATTCAACAATTCATTTAACCTCACCATTGATGACTCCTTCCATTACTAATCTCCTTTAGTGTTTATACTATTATTTTGTATAATTATTAACCACTTCCCGTTTGTTGTGAATAAAAGGCATTTTCTAGATTGTGAGTGAAGCTAAAATAAGTATGTTGTTAGTAAGCATTTTTGCTTCCATCCAGTTGTGAAGGAGCCTGAATCATAGATTTCTCCTGTTCCATGCTTCCTGCTTGTTAAGCAAAGATATTTCCAGAAAGTAAAATTCGTATTACATTTTATGAGATAAGAAACAGGCGAAAATTCATATTTAATAGATTTATTTTTATAGTGCAATTTTAGTTTTATAACAAGAAGGTATATACTGTAATTATTTAAGAAAGGCTTAGATAGAACTAGGAAATCGTCATTTTTTCGGTGGTATTGGGAAAACTACAAATCCTTTTTTCATCTCTTTCGTAATCAGTAACGAGTTAACTGTGAACTGTGTTGTATTTTTTTCCCGCCCGGAGTAAAGCAAAACAAAAAACGAGGATTAACAACTGCTGATAAATGTATTTTGTTGCATTACGATAAAAAAATTAAAAAAAAACTTAACTGAGAAAACCGACACTCTAAGTCCATAGCGTTTCGCACGACAATCCCAGATTAACGAAGACAAATCACGCACACGTCAGTTTCATTCAACGATTTTCAACCTTTTTTTGAAATACACGGAACAGTGAACAGGCGCTTCATTAACCAAGGCACAAATGAGTTACCATTTTGTTTTATTTTGCACCAATCTCACGAAGGATGTAGCTTCGATCTCGGAAATTAGAATAGTTTTTTTTTTAGGGACGCATATGGTCTTATGATAAATCGTAGATCCTAAGACGTTCATTAATTATGAATTTGAATCCTGGTCCATCTCGACTTTTTGGACAATGAAGAAGGGAAGGATTCAGAATAACGTATTTTAAGCATCTGATGTCCATAGATTTTTAGTCCCCGTGTGACATCCTTTTCTTAGATCCTTAGCAATGACCTCATTGGACGGCTAACAAGTACCATAGTGAACGTAATAAACTCGTCTCTTTAATAGCAGGACTTCCTTTAGAAATTTGGATTTTCCGTAACAGATATTCAGCACATTTTGCTGACAGGGAGAGATTACGCAATATGCAATTTAATTCATTTATTTCTTCGCGGTGCAATCTCAGTTTTTTATAATTAAAAAAAAAATAATGACATTACAGCAGGGACAAGACGCCGACTTCTTCACTTTTTTTATTACATTAGATAACGGTAAGATATGAAATGATCATGTCTCGTAATGTCAGTATTAACTATTTTTAGCAATTATTTCTGCATTACGAAATTAAGAAATGATAGTGCGACTTTTTTTTTTCTTTCTTTTTTTGTTTTGCCAAAGTCCGTCAGCTTGCTAATTGACAGAACAATCCATTCCCCATTGTTTTCTGATGACAGTATAAAAAATATCATATTGAACGGAAAATTAGAATAATTAAACACATAACCTGCAAGGCTATCGGGGCATTTAGTTATGAGCAAATACCCCCAGCCCCAAAAATATGACGAATCACCCAAGGCAACTTAGATAATCAGTGATAAGACCCCAAGTGCAAAAAAACTCAATGTTGCATTTTGATCGATCGCCATTTTGTGGGATTGCCTTCAAGCTTCATTCCACTCCCCCAGTTAATTCCATAGTCTCTGAAGTCGGTGCTCACTCTTCCTGACGCCTTCTATTATGCATATAGCTTGTACTCTTCTCCGTCGTCAGAGCCGTGCTGATGCAGAATCCTGTCTCTCGTGCCCGCTGCTTTTGTCGTCTTTTTGTTGGGCTCGCATTCTATATCTCTTTACCCTTAGAATCACTGCATCCCATGAACACCTACTTCAATAAAATCGCACAGGCCGCAAATGCCACATGTCTGTCGTAAGAGTAGAATATATAATTTTAGCTAAAGGCACCAGTCATGTTCTCTCAGGATGTGTCAGACATTTGCAGAATTCGATTTGACACAATGTTGCCTGCCTTAGTCTCACTGATGCTGTAACTTTTCCACTCTAGCTACACGACGTCATTCAGATTTCATCCTTGATTTATATCCAACTAGAATTCGCTTTCCTTCATCGCAGGAAAGGCACAAGCATATTTCCACGTTGCATTGGTACCGCACATTTCCTTGTTGATTGCCGTTATATGGTCTTGATAATACCTGCACTAACTACCTTACATATCCGTTATATGGTCTTGCTAATACTTGCCCTAACTACCTTTCAACGCTTTACATAAATATTCGCTCGATTTGATTTTTTAATGCACGAGGTTTTATTTTATAAAGACAACGGTCATTCATCTTGCATACATTAGACTTTATCCTTGCTTTTTTACAGGTTAATAAATGGTCTGTTCACATCTTTTTCTTCTTGTTCTTTAAGAGACAGTCATCCGTTGTAAAAATTATTGAGGCAGAAACATTAAAGAAGGCCGGGGTTAGTGTTGCAGAAAGTCAAGTTCATTGGAAAGGTCAGGTCGCAAGTATGACCACAAATTCAAGGGCCCAAGAAATGCCACAATCAGATCAGGGTCACGTAAAAAGGGTAAAAAAACAAACAAACTCAGAATCCCTTTTAAGACCACGTCAAAAGGATCATAGGACAGGATTGCAAAATCCAATCAATGAAAGGTCAAGGTCGCAAAAAGGTCAGGGTCATTAAAATGTAAGATAACGGCATTGTCGGAAAATGGTAAAGAAAATGACTTAGTTCCAGAAAATGGTCGCAAGAAGTTAGAGGCCGTCGAAAGGGTGAAAATGGTCCTAGTATGACGAATAAAGATTTTTCTGAACTCTTTAGAGAGAGAGACAGACAGACAGACAAACAGACAGAGAGAATAGAAAGAGAGAGAAAGAGAAGTGAGAGATGAGTGACAGAGAGGGGTTTGAAACAGAGACAGATACGTAGAGAGGGAGAGCGAGAAAGAGAGAGAGAGATGAGATGAGTGAGAGAGAAGGATGTGAGACAGAGACAGATACATAGAGAGAGAGAGAGAGAGAGAGTGAGATGAGTGAAAGAGAGGGGGTGAGACAGAGACAGATACTTAGAGAGAGAGAGAGAGTGAGTGAGTGAGAGAGGGAGAGTAAGAGTGTAGTGACCTGCTCCCTTGGTCTCTCTCGCCTCGCATTCCTGAAGAGCCATCTGCTTCCAGTCCTACAGTAATTCAACGCTCCTCCACCAACGCCAACAGGTCTACAATCCGAAAGCTACGAAGAAACCTTAGAGCACGCCAGTCTAACCTTTAACACTCGCAGATATTTAGTATGCTGTTATTCTAGTATCGTTTTGTATAAATTTGTCTTGCTTATATTGAGATTTCCATTATAAATTGCTTATTTTGAATCACTGTGTATGCTGTCGGTACTATTATTGATATTTCAATGTCTTTATGTCCATGAATAGTTAGCAGTTTTATCACTTTATTGCAAGCTGCAAGAGATGAAACAGAAAAAAGTGGGAGAGAAAGCAGGTGCTGGGCGGGCAGTCCCCCCTCCCTCTCGAATCTGTATGCCCCCCTCAAGGTCTTTCATGTCCCCCTCCCAAAGGCCACACCCCAACAACTTTTAGTGACACAAAGTACTGCAATTGCCCCCAACAACCCCCCCCCCCCCCCACTTGATTCCCCTGGTTATTATCGATCTTTATATATCTTCACAGTAATACTAAATTTACTTCAAACAAAAAGTTAAAGAGGAGATGTCTGCTTCTAAACATGTGTGTGTTGTGATCTCATCAGTGTCATCAGTACCACGGTACTTACTCTTTTTCCCTTAAAACTGTACTGCAACTAGTGGTTGTAGAATTACAACAGGAACATGTGAATACATTTATATTTATTATCCATGAATACCAGAAAAAAATATTTATAGAAACTTAAAATACACGATAACATTTGATCAATTCAGACTTATCATTAATCCAATAGGATTTTGTTTATAGTTTATTCACCGTGCCCCCCCCCCCTTAAAAATCCCGACCTATTTATTCCCACTTCGCTCATCTCCCCCTCCCTCCCAAGTAAAAGCTGAAATGGCGCCCCTAAGAGAACAATGGGCATAGAGAGAGAAAGATAAATAGGTAGGTAGAGAGAGAGAGAGAGAGAGAGAGAGAGAGAGAGAGAGTGAGTATGACTGGTAGAGAAGCACAATTGTGTGCAAGCCATAGGCGTCCTAAACGGCGCCCATCGCGAGGACCCACGCGGCTCCTACCCAAGGGCTAAACGGTTCGCCAGCCCTCGAACAGCTTCGATACCAGCACCACACGAGGAAAAGCATAGTGACCTCAGCCCTTGACCCAGGATGGCCCAAAAGCATGAGCTTCGTCGCCACTTCGTCAA